TATATATATACATACAAAACCTAAAAGAGCTGATGGATGGATGAACAGCTAAACTTATTATTTTAGAAAATCAAGAGCCTTGTTTATATGGCGACCAAAAATTAAAAATCTTAGTATCACAGAATAAACATTTAAACATTTTAGGACCAACAGTTTTTACTTACTGGCCTTTTTGCAAGTTTGCAAGATAAAAGTAGCAGCCTTCCTAACTTCCTCACTTGTGTCCTCTGTGAGAAAAGTTATTACTGCTGGCAGGCCTCCGCATTGCACCAGCTGGGTCTGGTGCTCTTCTACAAACACGTGACATCAAAAACAACCAAATAAAACCTTGACTACATGTTAGGGTTGGGCGATATTGGCAAAAAAATTAATCACGATTAATTGTGGTATTTAGCCGATAACGATTAATTTGACGATTAATCCCCTGGAGTCCCTGGACACCTTTATGTCCTAGTCACATGACCAATTTAGTGGGAAAAATTTGCTCTTCAAAAAAATCTGTTCCAAATTGTCAAAATTACAGACTTCGAGCTATACATCAAATTTTTAATTGTRTTGATAGATAAATAAATTTTAGAATTTATTATTTTTTTATGTTCGTCATATTTGAAGCGTAGAGGAGCATCGAGCGGACTGACCGGGGAAATCTCCAGTCAGTCCGCCTGGCGGCATTGATCGTATTAATCGTCAAGTGCCAAAAAGTAATCGATTAATGTTTTTCTGACGATTAATTGCACACGATACGATTATGCACAACCCTACTACATGTCAAAAGTAAAAACAACTCTACTGTCCAAGTCTTACCTGAGGCCAAAGTGCACTGCCCGATGCAAAGTAAAACAGGCAGTCTGTCATCGGGTTCCAAGTGGGAGCTCATCAGCAGAGAGAAAAGTGAGGACACTATGCTATACTGAACCAAAGCTGCGGCAAGAACCACTGAAGACAAGAAAATCCATTAGAATATAGAGACATGCTGTTGGTTGTAAATGCATGTGTTCGAGAGCAATGCGTACAGTTATCAGTGATGCAAGCTGACAAGGTTTTGGCTAAAAAAATCGCCAACTTGCAGGACAGTAAGCTCGTGTCAGCAACAGAGGCAGCATGAACCAGCACGAGTGTAAGAGTTTCCAAACCTCTGCAGGCAAAAAAACTCTCCTGAACGCTGGCTGCAAAAACAAGAAAGTGTAAATTAAACAGCCAGGATTTCAAAATTCCGTTGCGTTTGCATTTATGTTCTGATGAACCAGTGGTGGAGAAAGTACTCAAACACTGTACTTAAGTAAAAGTACAAATAAACAGACAAAAATGTACTCTAGTAAAAGTAACCACATCAACATTTTTACTTGAGTAAAAGTAAGTAAGTACTTGCTTTTAAAAATAATTATTAAAAGTAAAAGTACTTGCTTAATGTATTCCCTAATGGTCTACAATATTATGAAGTGTGCCTACTGTATATTTTAAATACATCAATGGTGTGCGATTTTAGTGAACAATATATGCTGCACTTTGAGTTTACCCTCTGACACTGTTCACACTTGGTGTGATTCTGTGCATCATCACAGATCGTGACAACAGAAGCTGTAAATTTGCCACCATCGTCCTTCATCAAATCTCAACAAGTCGTTTTTTGAACCAGTTAACTTGAATAAATAAGGCCATGAGTGGCACATTTCCTCCATTGTGGAATCCACTGTGGGCATGCTGCTGCTGCTCCAGGTGATGCAGAATCGCTCCGCCTTTTTTTTTCTTTTTTAGGATGGTCTAATGGTACTTTTCTGCTTTGCATTGCTTCAGTGGACCAATTAGAGAAATTCCCCTCTCGCCACTGATGACTTTCAAATTAAACAAACAAAACTAACAAAAAAAAGCAATGCAACATGACATGAATGTAATTTGTAATTCAACGCATTTCAGAAATGTAGTGGAGTAGAAAGTACAGATACTTAATGTAAAATGTAGTGGAGTAAAAGTAAAAAGTACCCATGATGAAATCTACTTAAGTAAAGTACAGATACATGAAAAATGTACTTAAGTACAGCAGCAAAGTACTTGTACTTAGTTACATCCCACCACTGTGATGAACTAAACAATATATATATATTCACTTACAGTTGTTGGCAACTGCCATGGCAATAAATGAACATATAGGTTGAAATACTTCAGTGCAGTGCAGAGAAGTCTGCTGGAGCCAGACTTTCACAATGGGAAAAGCTGCCACACAAATATGCTGACCCTCTTCTGCAAAACAAAAGAAAGACGCAACTGAGTAAAACAGTGTCTGCACTTGCTCCAAATAAAAACGTAGTACAAAACAAAAGATAGTATTACCATTCTGTGGATTGTTGATACATCCACACAAAGCACTGGATACAGATGACCAAAGTTGGTAGCTTTGACTAACAGTTCTGAAATTGTCTGTTTTGGACAGTGGGAAAGTGAGCCTGAAAAACATAATGACCATGTTTGTGTATTTTACAAAACATCTTAGTATAAGAATCTTATTTATTTGCAAAGTACCTGAAAAGATCCAGCAGAATTTCCAGGCAGCCAGTGGATTTAGCTAAAGTTTGTCCCGATTCTGCAACATCACACATACACCCAGTTTATACATTTACATTATTTCTTTCTGCTAGTTTGTCCACACATTTGTTACATCTCTCAGTGGCTTCAATTTCAACACGAACAAAGAAAATGAGATGTCTTTTAGAAAGAAAATTTGTAAAAATGTGTTAAATTAGTTAAAAGGGTTCGAGCTTACTGTTGTTGACAACCAGTGCAAACAGCAAATAGACAGACACCCTCTTATGCGTCAGCGAGGTGTCTTCTTTCACCAGCATGGCAGCGATGTCTGTAAAGATCTCTTTTCTGCACAACGAATTCTTGCAGTACACTAGCATTCAAAAGATACATATATATGACATCATCACCAAAAACAAACCCACACTTGAAACAATCACATTACGTTTTTGATGTGTCTTACAGTATACACAAACAGTATGCACTAAATTTTATTATTGAGTTAAAAAATATTGTGTTTAAGGACTTCACTTGGATTAAATATTAAGCTGGTATTTTGTGCTACTTTAAGTCTGTAAACCTCAAAATGTTTAATCAAAATGTACCTTTATTCCCAGGTGTAGATGTATTTTTTAGAATATATACTCAAAATGACAAAGAAGAAAACTTTTGCAACTTGTTCAAAATGTGTCTCTAATAGATTCAGAACCGTTGAAACACACACCCACCATTAGCCTCAGACAATGTGCCAAGTGTAAAGAGAGCAGTCTCCTTCACATCAGGATGAACAACGCTGGATTTGGAAAGGTTATACAGAAATGTCACACCGCCAAGTTCTCTCAGCAGGTCCACGTTATCCTCTGAAATAAAACAAACTGTGGTTATGTAACATGTTGAGATGCAATACTTAAAGTTGATCTTACCCCCCTGCGAAAAGATAACTCCGCCCCAAGGCGAAATTTGAAAAATGCATCAAAGTGGGTAGGGGAGAGGGTGTGGGTAGGGGAGGGGGGATTAGAGAGCGGAGGTGTGGCCAGGACGAGAGAACGTGACAGCCTCGGCTGAGCTGTCCGCCTCACAGGACAGAGGAGTGGAGCGCTCCGCGACAGCCTGACAGAAAAAAATAAAAGCATACAGCTGCAGCTGCTCTCAAGATCACTAGTTTAAATCAGGAATAAAAGTGTTGGGTCTTGTTTGACTGAAGTTTGGTCCGTTAGGGCTGCAGCTGCCCCGCTGTGTTTCTGCCTTTTTTATCCCTCCTCCCCTCCCGCTGTGCATGAGTACTGCTGGAGGGTGTGTGTGTGTGTGTGTGTGGAGAGAGAGGGAGAGAGAGAGATGCAGCAGTCAGCTCTCCCCACCCGAGGCTGAAGGTCAACAGACGATCATGCTAAGCTTGCTAACTGTTCCACCCTCTGACTGCTGCAGGGGCGTGTCTTAGAGAGAGGCTTTTATACCAGAACACAGCCGCTGTGACGAAACTGTGGAGAAGACACGTCACGGTGGAGAGCCGTTAACCAATATGCAAATTAGCCTGCAGTACCACTGCTCTACCCATATGAGCAGCAAAAACACGTTTTTAGACCAAATGTTACAGATTTGGACAAATACGCACAAAAACATCAAAATTAGCACAGAAACAGTACTATATAACATTTTAGACACATTCTAGACAGTTTATCAGCTAAAAAAAGTTAATTTTGGGGTAAGTTACTCTTTAATATCTAAGTTTTTTTTCACATATTTGTAGAGGAAAAAGAGCTGTACTTGTAAGGATTGCTAATTTTAGGTGTTTCACAGTTTACCTCTCTGTTCACAGATTGAATGTATGGCGATCAGCGCTTGTTTTTGAAGATCTGGACATTTCATCTGAAACTTCAGACACTCCAGAAGCAAACTGAGATCTGTCTTTGTTGCTGAAAGAGAAATTAAATTTAACACGTGTGGTATTATGTACATACAATGTATAGAAATGACAGAATCTTCAGTTTATCCGCAAAATTAGCGACGTCACTTACTGTTACGGCTGTTGCTGCAAGAACTCTTTCTATCCATTTGGCTCTTTTTACAAGGACGAGTTTAAAATCACAAATTATATGAAAGTACATAGTAGGCAGAATAATTAAGCTCAGTTGTGTTCCCTACGTCAGGCCTGGTCAAGCTACGACGTTGTGTTAGCGCTAGCTTAATGTGAAATAATTTTGAATTATGAAAACAAAGCATAAGTTATGACATTCACACACTCAAAGCGCAGTTTATCACTACGCTCATTTCTAAACAACCTTCAAATGTACTACACAAGTGAAACAGAATAAATTTGGTAAACAAATACAAGCTGGGTTTAGATGAATCGTTCTCCGGTCTGCGGAATTCTGAAACTTTGCGTTATTATGCACATCTTGCATTGGGTCTACTCCTTTTTAATTTGCCGGCCTATGACGCGGCTACAAGCAATGACAAACGGCAAGAGAGGAGATTCCCGCTCGTTTGACGGCGGTAAGATTTTTTTGCCGCTGGATCCAAGCCGAACAAAAGAATAAATTAGAGGAACTTTCATTGACACATAAAACTGACGTATTATAATATAGTTTTAATTGTTTTTGATATATCTGGGATTAAAATGGCGTGCAAACTCCGCACACACGGCGCGCGCCGCTTCGTCAACCGAGTACACAAATGATGTGCAGCCACTGGCTGCTTGATACGACTTTCAGAAAAATCAAATATTTTCATGATCAATAAATTGTCAGATCGACTTAAAGTTGTTTGTTATAGAGTTGCATTTTTTATTGTTTTTGTGATGTCCTAAAGATAAAATGATGATATATTACCTTTTATTGAATAGCATTGTTTCCAAATACAAATTCACCAATTTGGACGTGCATCATGTACCATGGATCCATTTAATGTAAAGCCTTAGTGTATGTAATAATCTATTAAGGTATTAGATATGGCTTAAATTATTACTGAATTATAAGTTTAGTATGGGCATCTAAAATTAGATTATTGTTTAGTAAAATGCTAGAATGAAATCAGGGCTGCAGCATTTATTTATTTATTTATTTATTTATTTATTTATTTATTTTCTGTGTTTATGTGGCTAACAGTGAATTCAACATTTTATTCTGTTTTTCAGTGGGTTTCTCTCTGACCCGAGGGGAACGTCCTCTGCTGATGACGTCACACGCAACTGGACGTAGCTGTCATGTTTACTCTAATGGTGCATGTTTTGGACGGACTTTGAGTCGTTCGTAAATAAACTCAGGTTTGCGCGCTTTCCACTTTGCTATAAGGTATCTGATATATGCTGTGCGTTATATGTGTTTCTAATTAGTTTGGATATTTAGGATTTACGAAGCGTTCGCAGAAATTAGCCGGAACTAGCATGCTAGCAACGTCAAATCTTGTTGTGTGCACTGGCAGGCGTACACATGGCACCGTGAACGCAGCTTTTGTTAAACTGCAGAGCTTGTTTCAAGCTGGCTAATCAACAACTAAGTTTTTTTCCGTGTAATATATTGTGAGTACTACTTGGAAAGAGTCATTTTCCTTTTCTTACTCTGATTAGACACAGGAGAAACGCTTGAACGACAGCGCTACAGTAGCGATGTATGGACGTGTGTACGCCAGTCTTCTCCAGAAAGCCTGTAGTTACAGACTATTAGTGTTCTCCACAGTTCCATTCCAGGTTTGTTTACTGATCAGACCACTTTGTTTTTCACATCCATTAAAATCCATCGTGCACACACCACTTTAATTGCTCCTTGTTTCCGCCTTCTCTCTTTCAGGCAACTCACCATTGCCACCTGTCATCGTGGAGTCCCTCCTCAAACCACAGGTGCTGCGCTGGTGAAGGATCTGGATCCTGGTTTCAAAGTGGGCGACGTTACTCTACACGGCAGGATCTGGACTTCCAGCAGGGTCAAATGCAGATCAACGGCATTCTTAGAAGCAACGAACAGGTGATGGATTTAACACAGCCTTTGTTTCAGCTGAGAGTAACAAAACTAATCACACTGTAGCAAGTCCAGTTCTTCAAATAGAGGACAAATAATCTGATTTAACTCTGTTTTAGACTGTGAATGTGCCAGAGTTTGATGGCAGGGCACTTAGTGCTGTGAGGAAGTTTGAAAGCAACCAGTTACCTGCCAATACCCCTAATGAGGACCGTCGCAGCGCAGCCACCTGCTTACAAGTACGCTTTTTTTTTGCTCTGGCTACGTGTTGTTGCCTTTTTATTTCACTAACACCTTTTCCCCCTTTTTATCTCCAGTCAAAGGGCATGCTCTTTGGAGTATTTGATGGCCATGGGGGTTGGGCATGTGCCCAGGCTGTCAGCGAGCGGCTGCTGTATTACATAGCAGTTGCTATGATGCCAAAGCAAAGCCTGGCAGAGCTTGAGAGGTGCATGGAGCACAGCAGACCCGTTCCCCCCATTTTACAATGGCATAAGCACCATGCAGATTTTAACTATCGAGACTCTGCCTCTCTGTATATAAACCACCTCAGAGTCTTCTGGCAGGAATTACTGGACAGTGAGGAGCATGACGCAGGCCTAAGGTAGGTTTAAATATGTGACTTTCTGAATAGAGGTGTAGAGACCAGCACAGAACCAGACTCCTCTGCGTTTACTTCCAGTCCTCATGATGCTCTGGATTGCGCTTTCAAACGACTTGACACAGACATCTCCTTGGAGGCTCAAGTCCCTCTTTCCAATGACCTGATGAAAAGTACAGCCATCCAGGTAATGTCACGCATCGGTCTTTTGTGTCTCCGTGCGTCAGAGTTGGGCGCAGTCTCAATAGTGCGTGCATCGTTAAATCTCCAGGTTGCGTTTGCTGGGTGCACGGCCTGTGTAGCTCACGTCGGCATCGACGGGATCCACGTGGCAAACGCTGGCGACTGCCGCGCAGTTTTAGGAGTGCAGAGCGAGGACGGCTCGTGGAGCGCTTTGCCTCTTTCTCGAGACCACAACTCTCAGAATCAGGCCGAGGTGGAACGAATCAAAGCCCAGCACCCACCTTCAGAGGGAAACACTGTGGTTACAGACGACAGACTGCTGGGGGTGAGTAACTGTCCCAGGATTTTAAAGCAAGTTGATATTTTATTTTATTTTTTTTTATCAGTTTGGTTTAACCCTTTAACTTGTTTCCAGGTTCTGATGCCCCTGCGTGGATTTGGCGATGTGAGGTTCAAATGGAGCCACGAGCTACAGCAGAGCATTTTAACCAGCATGGAATCTGGAGGGGACCTGGACTCTCTCAACTTGTATCAGTACACGCTCCCTAACTACCTTACACCACCCTATCTGGATGTGGCACCTGAGATAACCTACCACAAGCTGAGACCCCAGGACCGCTTCCTGATCCTCGGGACCGACGGGTTGTGGGATGAACTGGACAGCGAGGAGGCAGTTCGACTCGTTGGGGAGCACTTGAGCGGAATTCACTTACAGGTTAGTGTATACTAAACAGGTGGTGGGCACAGCTAACCTAAATTTAGGTTCACTAACCACTAATTTGCTAAACAAGAATGTTAACGCTGCTAATGCTAAAATTCAAAACAGATCAAAATTAGTGGAAGCTATTGCTAACTGCTAACTGGCGCTCGTGGGATCATTAGTGTCAGATTTACCAATTCAAACCATAGCTATAGCTGTGTCTTACATGTGATACTTCCAGTTTAACCCTTTCAAAATAATAGCATTTCTTTGATCAAGTTTGTGTTTTTATAAATACTGTTTGATTAGTGAATACTCTCCACCATATTTTATAGCATAGCATAGCATAGCATAGCATAGCATAGCAGTGGTCCCCAAACTTTATCTTCTGACCCACAAAATGTCCATGGAAAAAACTTGTGACCCAAAATATTACTGGTCTGAGTACACGAACTTCATTAATAACCATAAAAACACAGACTTTTTGACAATCTAAACAGTTTGTACACAAATATAAATACTTATTTTGTGTTTTTGTAATAATTATAGGGAAAATATTACATCAGCAATTATTTTATTACCCTTTAAATTGATTTCTGGAGATTATCCAAGGTGCTTCATGACCCATAATTGGGTCCCAAGCCCAACTTTGGGAACCAAAGTGCAGTGGTTCCCAAACTTTTCAGCTTTTGACCCACGAAATAACAGTAGCAGAGACCTGTGCCCACTGCTATTTTTGGATGATAAACATTTGTATCAGGTCAACAAAACATAGGCATAGTAACAATATTTTTTTACTACATTTATCCATTTTAAATACACTAACCTCACTCCTTTGTAACAACTAAGGCAAAAATGTAATTAATTCAGAAAATCTTTTCAGGACCCCACCTTGATGTTTCAGGACCCCACTTTGGGTTCTGACCCCAACTTTGGGAAACACTGTAATATTTTAAAGTAATCAGTTTTTGTATTTGTTATTTAAAGTGCCTGTCATGTCAAATTTTTGTAATTAAAATTATGGACAGTATTTTTGTAAGGATAACACTGATAACATATTGAAAAAAAATTCATGCTGCTGAGATGAACAGTTGATGAAATATTTGCATGTGAAGTAACAGGAAGTGATGTCAAAGGGGAATGTCTGCGTGTGAACAGAGCATTGCTAAAATGGCTAACAACACAGACTGTAGAGAAGAATCGGATGTTTTTTGTTTTTGATTATTTTAATCACTATCATAGAGAGATGAGAGAGTCAGAGTTCAAATAATATTGTTTAAATAAACAAAAACCAGGGAGTTTTCTTTCTCAAAGAGTTCCCCTTTGATGTCACTTCCTGTTTCACTTTAGCTGAGCCAAGGTCAAAAGAAAATGTGCCGGTTATGTGACATAATGTGTAAAATCATGTGTATTATGCCAAGTTTCTTAAATATAAATATAATTTCTTTGACTTTTTATATTACATGGAAATGCATGTCACAGATACTTTAAATGTTGTTACTCTTTTTTTTTCGTCACACTCTTAGTTTGAAGTTTAGCTGCTTAAGAAGCTTCAAGCACGCACTGTGCCTGACGTATACAGCACTGTTTGTAAGAGGGGATCATTTTTATTTAATTTGAGATAAATGCCATAAAAGTAGAAGTTTTTGGTGAATATTTTTAGTGGACTTAAAATTAGCCGAACCTAATTTAGCAGAAGCTAATCTGCTCGCTAACGGTTTCCAATGTTTGCAAAACAAAAGCTAATGCTCTAAATGAGAAGCTAATTCTGCTATTAGCAGATTAGTGGTTTAGTGGAACTGTTCCCACCACTGCACTAAACTCAAAAGTTTCATTACTAATACCTTTCATCATGCAAAGATATCCCTAAAAAAACCCTAATCTGACCCCCTTTTTTATTTATTTATTTATTTTCCAGGCTCCAGTATCTCCATCTGAGCGGCAGCTGAAATTGGGTCAGATGCATGAACTCCTGCTTAAACGGCGAGCCCGGGCCTCCCCAGCTCTGGACACCAACGCTGCCACGCACCTTGTCAGGCACGCCCTGGGAACTGGGGATTATGGAGAGCTGTCTCAGGAGAGGCTGATCTCCATGCTGGCTTTGCCGGAGGACTTGGCTCGTATGTACAGGGACGATATCACGGTTAAAGTGGTGTACCTGAACTATGACCTGGCCAGGCCTCACCACAGTTAGCACACGTTTTGTTCAGAAGCCACACCAAGAGAGACGTACCTAAACATTTAGCTTGGTTCAGATCACCATCAGTGTTTTTCTTTCTGACTGAACCTTCTGTTACATGAAGTGATTAATTGATATTTTAGAACGGTTTACAGTGTCCTATTAAGGGAAGGTAGTCTTTTAAATAGACTATTAAGTTTACCACAGGTTGAATATTCATTAAATTACATTAAAAGAATCAAGGCTTTGTGAAGAACTGAGTTCAAAATGAATAAACTTTGTTCATCAGTATTTTGTTTCTCCTCAATAGACATTTCCATCAGTGCCTTTATTCCTACTCACATTGTATTTATGTAAAATAGAAAGTTTATCTTTAAATGTATGTCGTTAATCTAATTAATTCATATATTAAGTGTTTTTTAATTGTCTCTGTCCTTATGGGGAATAAAAGATTAAATGTTTTTTAATAAACAGAGAAATGATGTTTGTTTTTTGTCATCTGGATGCAAGAGGAAATATTTGGTTTTACAGTTTATTTCCGCAAAACACAGTTTTGTGCTCGGACAACCAAACGTGGGAAACCGTGTGAAGCTGTGGGAGAAAGAGTTTTCAAAATAAACTTCTAACGTAATGACTTCTGAGTGTTATGGGAGCCAATTAGAGCCTGTGTTTTGAAAAACATGTTTATTTGCCTTCGGGGATAAGCCTGAAACTAGTTTTACTTATACAAACACAAATCCTATTGGAATTATAGATTTTAGGCAATTCTAAGAGTGATAAAAAATAAATAAATCGCGCTTCTTTAATTTTAAATGTTTAACAAAAACATCACAGAAACCTCGTGTTTTGAAATATGAGAGCCGAAGCCTCACCTGCATGAGCTCACCTGTATGTCTGTAACGTAGCTTACAGCGAATCATGAACGTGACAAAATAAAAAAGTTGTTTGGTTACTCTACAAGGCTTTAGCTACTTGCTGGCTCAACTGGTTTTAAGTTTTCATTTTGTTTCATGTCCAGGTGACGTATTATTTCTCTCCCCCAAACGAGACTTACTTCCAGGGGACTACACCTTATTGATGCGTATTTATGATGCTGACATGCTCCACCAGGACAGCACGCTGAGCGTGGTGTGTCAGTGTCAACGGGACTTTTCCACCTGCTTCATCCCACGTTCTGACCCACGTCAACACAACCCTTCTGTTGCAGCCTCAGTCCTGGGAGTTCTTTTTGGTGGTCTGTGTACATACACTAACCAGTTCACTCTAATTTCATTTCACTCATCCTGTAGTGAGTCATTTATTTTTTTAAAATTTGATTACAGTGCTGCTTCTGCTGCTTCTGTTGTTGCTGAAGAGGAGGAAGAGGAGGAGGATGGTCCTCTTCTTGAAGCTTTACCCAGAGACACCATCTTCTGCTACAGCGAGGAGGGAGGAGGTGAAGACGACCAGGTAGTGGTGGAGATTATATTCTATTAGGTTTTTTGTTCTAATGCATTCCTTCAAGGTCTACTTGGTGTTTAATTCTTAAATAAAAAGAGAAGTTAGACACTGCATGCAACAGTTGCACATTGTGTGTTCATTATCGTAAGAGTTGTGAATAAAAAACAGATTTTAAGACTTAAAAGGGATGTTATACACAAATATGATTTGAATTACGGGTCTTTAAATGGGCCAGCCAACAAATAGGTCGTCTGTTTTTTTTTTGAAGAAAATAATCTGATATTAAAATAAGTGTAAGGCAAAAATATTTAAACTTACTCATTTAAGAGTGTCGTCCTTTTTTCTTTACTGTTTACAACTAAACCTTTCTGGTGATTGCTGCTTTGTTCCTGGCAGTCAGAAGGATAAACAGATGTAGGCTCACTGGGAAAAAAAAGATCCCTTTTTTATAGGACTACGACCTGAGCCGGCTCCACAGAGGACTTAATAATCGTCCTGATATCTTCAGCACCGATGTTTTTGCAACCACCCAGAGCCGACCAGCGTACCACCGACAAATCCAAGCCAACGAGGACGTCGTCAAGTTGATTAAGGATGTGAGTAATCATGAAAATGATCAAAACCACCTTTGCTCTGCAGTTTAGTTGCTTAGATATTTGCACTGATTTTGTTTTAAACCTAGAACATGCGAGCTGCCAACAGTGACCTCACAGCGCCTCCTTACGACTCCCTCCTGGTGTTTGACTTCGAAGGCCGAGGCTCTGAGGCCGATTCTCTCAGCTCCATCAACTCCTCAGAGTCGGAAGAAGAGCAGGACCTTCAGAGGCTGAGTCAGTGGGGACCACGCTTCGGCAGACTGGCGGATTTGTACACGAGGAACAGAGAGGATGATGACGATGATATATTGCCAAGAAAAACAGAGTGGGTCTGAGATGACCCCCCACACATATTAATAGACGCTCTAAATCTGGGCCCATCTGGCTGCGATCTTACGAATGCTGTGACCTCTTTCTGCCACCCTCTGGGGTTTAACCAAACTGTTTTAATATGATGCATAAATATTCTCAACTTTCCAGTTCAGTTTCGTGTTGTTTTGTTAATTACACAATAAAAATAAAAATATGATTATGAATTTAATTCCAGATACTGCAGGGATTATTTGATTCATTTAAGCTTAACTACTTTCAGGACTAAATTAGATCTAATTAAACTTTTTTTTGTTTTCAGATGACTACCACCAATCAGTAAAATGTTAAACACAGCAAGCACACAATCATCATTTGGTTTATAGTCACAATATCCAACACAATGTTCTTATATGTTTGCAGATAAATATTTGTGAATATCAAAATAAAATCTGTACAAAGGAACGTTTGAACAAGAATTGGTGAAAATGCCATAGTTTGGAAAATAAAGAAATTGTGATTCTATGACACAAAATAAACAAACTGAAAAGGTTAATGATAGTAATAGTTGTCCAGCCCCTGGCCTGAACTGTTGGCTTTAAGTATCTGTGGCCCCCTGTGCACTTTAGTTGAATAGCCCATTGACCAAAAATCACATCTGTCATAATGCATGTTGATTATTTTTCCTGCAAAATGACGGCATCCTGTCACTAGGTGGAAGTGCACAGGGTTCAAAAGTAGCCAGCAGCCGGTGAAACTTACTGAGTAAATTTACATTTAGCTCCATTTTCACTGGCTACTTTTATAGCTTCCCAGTTGTACTGGGAAATGGGAATTTCACACTTACAAGTTGTAAACTTAAAAGCCCCTTATGTGGGAATTCCCTGTCTGAAAGTGGGAAAGATCAGAATTCAAAACAGCAGCAATGAGACATGGAACATGATGTTTCATGTTTAGTCAAAGTTAAACACAAGTGGCCCTTTTAGGGGCCTCCATAACACTCGTGGTCCTCTGTGAAAAGGAGTTTAACAGCAGGTAAAAATGTTCAAACAGAAAACCCAATCTAAAAATGCAACCAGCGGTTCGATGCTTCAGTAACTCCTCCCCACAGACTGATAAGCATCTGACTCACAGGCAGCCGTCTCTCTGAATCTCCTCCTTCAGACTGAACTTTACACACTCCTTGTTGGCCAACTCTGGTGAACTTTGACCCTGTAGATCTGCAGCGCTTCACTACACTGCAGGTATAGAAGCAATGGTATAAACTGCTGGATGTCTCTTATTCCTTTGTTTACTTTTTCATTCGGCGTAAAAGTCCACGAATAAATGGAGACGACACAACATCAAGGAAAGGTGAGAAGAAAGAGACAGAAAATGGTTTAGACAACTTAAAGTCTTATTGCTGGGGTTTCTTTCTTGCTAATCTTATGGATGCTTTTACTTTTTGAATCAATAACGCTTGTCCCCAACAGACGACGCAGAACATGTTTCAGGAGGGGCTGTACCAAGTGTTTTTCAAGGAGACCCGTCCCCCCAACCCCACCAGCCCAGACTCCAGTAATGGGGAGCTGAACAACGCCAGGATTCACCGTTGGTTTGGGTCTGTGGTTAACACAAGACTTTTAGTTGCTGGGGTGAGCCGTTGTGTTTGTTTTGGTTCGCTATAAATTATTATTCTTTAAAAACATCTGTAAGATTTTCCTTCCTTCCTTGAATTTTTTTCCCCTTTCAGGTGGTTCAAGTCCTCAGTGCTTTGGCTTGCATACTAACAACAGTAAGCCATGCGTGTCTGAGGTACAACTACTCTGTCTCCAAGATGACTCCAGTGTGGTCAAGCTTATTTGTGAGTGATTTACGCTTTGAGCTCTTTCTTTTTACAGCAGAGGAAGTTAAACAGAGTGTCCTAACTGCGGATATTGTTACAGTATGTGGCTGCTGGGTGTCTGGCCATAGAGGTTCAGAGGAAAGCTAGCAGATTAAAGGTAAACAGTAATTTCTAACACTTATTTCTGCTTATCTGCTCATCTAACATTCGTATTACCAACCAACAGATCATCAGTCTAATGGTTCTGAACGTTTTCACGCTGTTGTTTGGCTTTTCTGCTCTGCTGGCCAACGCTCTTGTACCTGTGCCACCCGCAGCACTCAGAGCATACCAGGAGGTACGTTCTCTGTCACCAGAAACACTTTTAGTCATTGTTAACACACACACACACACACACACACACACACACACACACACAC